GACAGGGTGTCTGCCTCACGGACTAAAACTGGTAGTTGGTTCCACAGGAGAGGAGCCTGATAACTAAAAGATCTGCCTCCCATTCTACTTCCCTCTTAGCCAACTCGATTCACAGGACCCCTCCCGGAGGTGTGGCTTGGCCCCCTGCGGAGATTTCATTCTCTTTGCGTGAAGCTGCCCAGGGGTTCAGATTGGAAGAGACAAAACCATGGAACCAGTCCCAGAGGCGCAGATCTCCATGACTACACAAAATATATACACAGATGGGAGTTCGCTCGCAGCAGTTACTGTTATGCTTTCTACACAGATGTAAGGAATGTACCGCTTACCATGGCTACATCATTTGTCATTGTTTAAGACCAGTGAAGCACAGTGGAGAGACATAGGCCTGCTTTTAAAAGGTGCAGAAAGCACATCTGATTTCCATCCATGTCCGCACAAACCAGGCTGGCTCTATAGCCAAAGCACAGAACTATGGAAACAGCCTCATAAAATTCTGTTCGATGCAGAAGCTTGGGTCCAAGATTTAGCATGAGATAAAATAATTCAGCATTCTTTGCTATCACATTCTGATGATAATTATTTAAAAGATATCCCAAATACTTTGTGGTCTACAGGACAAACTGATGTAGGACTATTGACAACTGTAGAACCAGTTCAAATAGTTCCTAAATCGCAATACAGACTGCGGATAAAACACAATCGGCTAAAGCAGAGGAAGGTATAAAGCCAGTAAAAAAAAATGTATTGAGTGTAGAAACAAGTCTGTTGCTGGGGCCATGTTATTTCAGAAGAAGGTGAAAAGATACAGGAAGAGTGAAAAACTGCAATAGCAAGTGAGTGTAAGCTAGTAACTACAGGACAAATAATGTATTTTTTAGAATTGTGCAAATATTGCAGAACTGTAATTCCACATTATGCAGATAAAACTCAGCTTTTCTTAAGCCTTATTTATGACACACCAATTGCTATGTAAGTGACAATCCAGTGGGCCCCAAAAGCAGTTCATAGAACTCAATGCAGAGCTCAATTATCAAAAACCATTGATCCAAACAGTCAACTGTACAGCTGGTTTTATGAAATCTGTGTTGTTACAGCCCCATGGTGATAAGCTCAAACCTGTAGTGTACTACTCTAAAGGGTTAAAGGGGACCCCAAGGGAAGCAGCAGCTGTTTTGAGCCACGGACCATATCATGTCTCAACAGGAGGGATGGTAACAGCAACATTTTACAGAAGAATTTTGTAAAGCCTGTACAGTTCGTGTTAGACCAGGCATCGTGTTAGACCAGGCATCCCCAAACTCGGTCCTCAAGGCCCCCATTATAACCAGCACAGCTGGTTATAATGATTGCAGTAGACCAAAAGCCTGTTAATCAGCTTTCAATTAAAATCAGCTGTGCTGGAGCAAGGAAACCTCTAAAACCTGCAAGACAGGGGGCCTTGAGGACCGAGTTTGGGGATGCCTGTGTTAGACATAATCCTCAAGGTAATATAAGACCAAAACTAGGACATTTTCCACAACTAGAGGGAGTTTTGAAGTGATGCGTATGGATTTTACTGAACTAAAAAGAAGTGACCCTTACAAATACTGATTAGTAATGATTGATGCATTTTCAAAATGGGTTGAAATAGTCCCAGCAAAGCATGCAGATCCATTGACAGTAGCTAAAGCTATATGCAAAGTTTCCATTACAAATTTTGGAATCCCACAGAAAATTTACAGTGACAATGGTCCACATTTTGTGAATCAGGTGATTCAATAAATGGCAAGCAGGGACTGGACTGGGTGTTCATCAGTCATCAGAGGGAAGAACTGGGCGAGTCCAAGGTGGAAATTACCATTCCAAGTGCTCCTGATCACTTGGAATGGTAATT